ATATTATTCAAATATTTGATAAATTTAATATTTTAATAATTTAAAAGGAATCTTTTATAAAATGTTAGTTTTGTTTTTTTTTTCTCCTTCAAAATAAATTCAAAAAAATAAATTATACTTTTTAAGTATTTAATTTTTTTATTTTAAAGAATCTTTTAAAAAATTGGGTGAAGCAAGAAAAGCACTGTCGAACATCGTTTTCTCTTTTTTTTCTTGAAATTTTGCTTGAAATGTTTTAAGGAGTTGTTTATTAAACGCATTTACCTTAACGGTTATTGTTATTGGTCATCAAAATTGATCGTTGGTACCATAGAACTTTTATCCTAGCAGTATTGTAGTTTTTGGGTTCCTAGAAGGTCAATGGTTTAAACCTTACCAAAGGTAAGGAGGGTGTGTGAGTTTATTTGTTATAATTGTCGTATATAAATATTGTATACTTAAAAAAATGGATCGTTGGTAAGTGTCTCTTATCGGGTAAGAATATTTTCTCTCCCTTACTGGTAAGATTCTTGTTCATTGTCATGCATACGTGGTAAGATAATTGACACCCAATAAACGTTTGGTAAACGACCCATAATTCTTACCATCGCATTTGATCATGGACATGGTAACCAATTATTATGCTTTTAAATAGAAAGGACTTAAGTAGCATAAAGGTTGATTTTCAAGATTCTACAAAATAATTACAGTAATATAAAATAATTATAGTTACTAAATACAATACAAAACACTAAAAAATAGTTCCAATTTCAACTGTTTATGGTTAGGGTTATTATATTCCACTACTGATGATCAGTAAAACTCAGATTTAAGTTGTGATATGTTACTGTAGCCTCTTAATTTTTATCAGCAACAATGCTTCGAATCACCATGATAGCACCACCATTAAGGGTCCTAAAAAGGTTCACACTTCAAGAGACGAATTTAACTGTGACATGTGATGCCATCAGTGCCTTAGTGAATCTGCTCATCGTAGCAACTAGAATTCGGAACCAACGTCAATGCAGGGACCAGAAGTTGCAACATTTTTAGTAAAGTGGCAAAACTTGCATATTGATAAATAGTTTATGGACCATTTTTGTAATTCACTTTCTATTCTAAAACGTGTAATAAACAATTACAGTTTTGAATAATTGACTAGTTAATAGATAGGATACACTGTTTATGAATCAATACGGCATTATGTAACATTTGTGAAAGTCAAACCGTTACACTTAATACATGGGGGTCGGTGGGATGGACTACGTAGGGGAAACTACCAAGGATTCCTACGTAAGTCTAATACATATAATTATTCTAGAGGATAGGGGTTGGGGTATAGCCTTTGTATAAATGACATTGGTATACGTAGAATCCTACATGACGACAGTACTTGTGGTGATCTGACTCACAACAAAATATGAGAACGTTCATTTAACAAATATGTAAATGATATGAACGTAAAAGAAGTCTATGCATTTTTTTGCGAGAGTTGGAGAAACATCTGAGTGAAGCATTGTATTTATATATAACTATTTACCACATATTCTCCGCCATCCTTTCCAAGTTTATGAATCTAGGTAATAGTATCCCGATCAAAGAGCTGTCAAAGAGAGGCTGCTGGACGCAGTTCAACTACCATACACTCTTGGAACAGTTGAATTACGAAGTTCCAAGTGAGCGTATTACAGGGGAATGTCAAACACATCCGTTAAGGATAAAAGGGAAATCTCATTGTTGTGTAGCTTAGGTCGGAGTAAAGTGTCCGACATTGTATACCCCAACATGTCGGAAGGTAGCGGAGGAATGAGAAGGAGTTGCACGTGTAGAGTATATTGTTTGCATTCCAAAAGCACTATTTTTTTTATCATATTTTAGGGAAATGTGCCAATTTAAAGTATTTCGAATATATGGTTCAGGAAAGGGAGGGTTGGGGAAAAACGTTGCATATGATAAGGCAGATGGGGGAAAATATAAAGGAGAAATGCTGCAATTGACTTGTGGACCAACTATGTTGTATAATCTGAATGTTGAGGTGATAAAGAAAATGCACGGTTGAAAAATGCAAATTGTGTAACGTGGATGTTAATATGGAAATATTGCCATATGTCAAATAGGATATTAACTGGGTTTTTTAGCAAAAACCATGTATTGCACCTATCTCGGATAATTTGAGATCGAGAAGATTCCAGTGGTTTGGATATATTTGCAGTAGATCACATACGGCATTGGTGACGAGGGTCGAATGAGCCATGCATGGTTAAATGGGTGAGATGAGGCATGTCAAGGAGAATGCAAGATAAAAAGTTGAGACTAGACATTGAGGCATTGATAGTCAATAAGGATATGACCTCATATATACATATATACACACACACATATATGATGCATTGTGATACCACTATGATATCACTGGAGAACGGTGGCCGGGGGACGAAGAGAGAAGAGAGGAGAGATGAGAGAAAATACCTAAAATACCCTTGCATTAAAATTTTAATTAAAAATTACCAAAATTATAAATTTCCTAATTTATCTATTGATTTGTGGTTGAGATTGGACCTCACGGTTACCACAAACTAATTAGTTCTCATTTGATTAA